AGTTTGTTGTGAAGTCTGTTAATTTGCCACTGGCTTTTGTTATTTCATCTCTTAGGTCTTGTATTTCTCTTGAGGCGTGGCTTTTATCTCCTCTTATCATTTCATCCTTTTTCTGTATTGTTGGCCTCATATCCTGAATGACTCCAAGCAGCATTCTAAAGAATCTGTGGCAGATCAATGTCTGCTTCTTTTATGCACATCATTAAGTTCAGGACTTCTTCTGACATTGCCTTTGTTTCTCCTGTTTTTTCATTGAGTGTCTTGGGGCTGATTGCTGTTTGCATTGTGTTGTTTTACAGGATCCTGGCTCCATTATCCAGAGGGTTGTAGAACACTGGGCTCTCTCTTTGGGAGACTCATAGGAATGCTCATTTGAACTGCCTGCAGCTAATTTCACTGTGGGGTTGGGCTAACACTTTATCCTCCTATGGTTTCACTCTTTCCATAGCCAACCAGTATTCTGTTATTTATAGGACAAGTTGGATGGTCCTCTCAGGGGATGCTGGTTGCGTGGTTCTGGACCCACAAGTATGGCACTACACTGGATGATCTCACAGGAACCCATGGTGGTGTGGCACATGGTGGCTTGGGGCACCTCAGAGCATGTTCGTTAGTACATACTGTGACTAGAGTGCTGGGGAGGGCAGGTGGGTGTGCCCGCTTTGGTGTAGAGCACCACAGGCGGGTGTGCCCGCTTTGGTGTAGTGTAAAATTGCGCTAGTTGGCTAGATCGCCGTGTAGGTTTGGCCGAAGTTCCCGCCACAGCGTGGATCACTGGAGAGTGTTGTCGGGGCTACCTTGGGCTGTGTGAGGCACTACGGCAGGTGGGAGGAAGTTCCCTCAGCCATGTGGGATCGTGGAGGATGGGCAGGTGCTCCCCCAGCCACATGGAGTGCCATGGAAGATGCGCAGAGGTTCTCTCAGCCAAGTGGAACACCTCAGTGGGTGGGCAGGCCTTCCCATAGCTCCTGAGAGGGTCTTGGGGGTAGCTTAGAATTCCTCTGCAGTCGAAGATGGGTTGGATTTTCCCAGCTGCTTGTTATGTCACAGAGAACTGGCTGGTGGGATTTTCCTCAGCCACTTAGAGTGCCTTGGAATGTACGTTTGAGTTCCCCTGAGGCGGAAGGTGGGCAGGATTTCCCCAGCTGGGTGTTACTCCGCAGAGACTGAAGCGCCCCCCAGCTGGGTGGAGGGCCGGAGTAATTGCCCTAGGCAAAGGGGAGTGGTCTGGAGCCTGGGCATTGGCGTGTGAGTGGAAAAAGAGGAGGAAAAAAAGCAAAAAAAAAAAAAAAATGGAAAAGACCAGCATCCGCACTCTGCTGACCCATCACCCGTCTCGGTGTCTGCAGCCTCCTCCACTTCCTTCCTGGAGGACGAGAACCAGCGGCCAGAAATCCATCATGTCTATCCTCAAGATTCGCGCCAGAGAGATCTTTGACTCCTGTGGAAATCCCACCATTGAGGTCGATCTTTACACCGCCAAAGGGCTCTTCAGAGCTGCTGTCCCCAGTGGTGCCTCCACTGGGATCTATGAAGCCCTACAGCTCCGGGACAATAAGACCCGGTATCTAGGCAAAGGTGTCTAAAGGCTGTTGAGCACATCAATAAAACGATTGCGCCTGCCCTGGTTAGCAACAAGCTGAACGTGATGGAACAGGAAAAGATCGACAAGCTGATGATTGAGATGGATGGAACTGAGAATAAATAAAAATTTGGTGCAAATGCCATTCTGGGCGTGTCCCTCGCTGTGTGCAAGGCCGGTGCTGTTGAGAAGGGAGTCCCCCTATACCGTCACATTGCTGACTTGGCCAGCAATTCCGAAATTATCCTGCCAGTTCCTGCTTTCGATGTGATCAATGGCCG